CTGAGTATCATTGGCTCTTGTTCATATGGTATCTCTTGAAATGGCTGAACATTAACCATTTCCTTTTGGTACAATGTATTGAGTAGGTTTTATAATATCTTGAGTCCTGTGAGAGATTTAATCCTAATTTAATCCTAAATTCTGAGACACTGAATAGTAAATACTACCATGGATGATGCACAAAGGAAAATTCTGTCTTACATTAGACACAAATGTCTTTATAACTTTAATGGTGAAAAATGATATCTTAAGGAATCTATAATTGATTCTATAATATTTAAAATTTTAAATACTTTCTAAAATTGTAAGAATTTACTTCATTACATTTGTAATTTTAATCAGCAAAAACTGTTGATTTGATGCTTTTTTATAATGCACCCTGAATGGCCTCATTCTATCTCTTTTGTCTTGGTATATATTTATAGCTCTCTAAACATGGTATTTTCCATAATCTCATAATGCATGTGAAAGTTGGACAGTGAATAAGGAAGACCATCGGAGAATTGATGCTTGTGAGTTATGGTGTTGGAGGAGAATATTGAAAATGCCATGGGTTGCCAAAAAGAACCAACAGATCCATTTTGGAAGAAGTGCAGCCAGGGTGCACCTTGGAGACCAGGATGGCCAAACTTCGTCTCTCATACTTTATGCATATTGTCAAGAGCGACCAGTCACTGAAGAAGGATATCATGTTTGGTAGGGTGGAGGGTCAAAGAAAAAGAGGAAGACCCCCAGCAAGGTGAATTGGCAAAGTGGCAGAATTGATAGACTCAAGTGTGGTAACAGTAGTGAGAATCGGGCAGTGTTTCATTCTGTGTGCATAAGGTCACTATGAGTAGGTACTGACTCAATGGCACCTATCAACAACAACGACAAACTTTGCCAACCATTGTGTAATTGTGTGCTGTGAGTTAGTTCTGTAAGACTATCCAAAGTCGTTCTACCTACTACAGTTCAAAGCCACCACAAAAACTAATCACACACACAAAGAAGATCTTTGTCATCTACATCCCTAGTTTCTAAGGCACAGGGAATCTTTCAGGCAAGATCACAGATTCCCTGCGGAGCAGGTTTTTATTATTCTGCCTTGTGACATTATCAATATCCCTTAAAACTCTAAGAGGAATGTTAAATATCATGTCCCCAAATTCCTTATATGTTAGTATATATAAGTTGTTTTTATTTTGGGGGGTAATAAAAGATATTTTAATACAATCTGTATGTGCACCTGATAATAAGTGAGCAGGAAACAAGTGAAAAGAGGGGAAAGAGTATTTATTATATGGCATAGTAAGAGCATCAATACTGCTCTTCTGTCATTTCCACTGACAAGACTATGAATGGAAATGTACAGCTGTTTCTCAGTTTGAATTGTGCCCCATCAATAAATAAAGGTCTTGAAAGCTTTACTCCATTTACATCATCACAGTCAACTACTTTGAGAAGGCAGCTTTCCCTATCGTATGTTGATTGTTTTCCAGGCCGACAGTCTCATTTTCAGCATTATAACTGACAATATTTTGGTACTATTCATCATGTTTCAATATTCAATAATCTAGTGCTATCTTACAGTATGCCACTACTGTTCATAAGGTTTTCAGAGGCTAACATTCAGAAGCTGTCTGACTCTCCTTCATAGTCTGTCTTAGTCTGCAAGCTCAGCTAAACCCTGCCCATCATGGTACGTTGTTGGTAAGTGCCATAGAGTTGGTCACAACCCACAATGATCCTGTAGAGTTTCTCTGAGGAGCAGTTGGTGAGCTTGAACCGCCGACCTTGAAGTTCAAATGGCTTTACAGTCTGGTGCATTAACCCACAGCGCCACTCCAGGACTGCCCACCATGGTATACACTGCTGATATTTAAAATACTAGTGGCATAGCTTTCAGTATCACAGCAACTCATCACAAACTGACAGAAAGTGAATTTAAAATCAGTTGGCAACATGAAGTGAAGCAGATTTTCAAATCTTGTTTTATGAAGTATAGAACTAAGGTTTTAAGAAGTTATGAACACTGTTACATCAATGTCATGAAATAGCATTAGTCTGGATCACTTTTATATATCACCTTTCTAGTCATGGTCTTATAACTCCCACCAAATATTTGGATGGGATTACACAAATAAGGTGCTTGTGGCCCAGGGATTGGACAGCTTGCTAATAATGCAGATAAGGTGCATGGTACTCTTGTGGGCCTGGGACTATGCAAATAAGGTATGGTTTTATTGTTGTTAATTGCTGTC